GAGAATTGATATGCCTCTAAAATGAACACAGCATTATTAATCAATATAACCAACAGTTACCCAAAATGCTAATTAAGAACTGTTTCTCTGTAAACAGAAGCATATATAAACTGGAGATGCTTTAACTTTGTGACTAATCTCTCCAGCTGCTTGTTAACGATCCTGAAAAAAGGTCAACAACATGAGGCTAAGTGCTCTTATTAGCCTGCGGGAAGTTTATGTTCTCAGAGCTATCATCTTGTTTTCATACCATTTTCTCTAGTTGCTCAGTTCAAGCCTTTAAAGAGACATTAATCAAGGGACTGGGGCATATTAGAGCCTGCAAATACCTTTTGGCGTGCTTTTTAAAACATGTTTTGTGCTCTTTCTTCCATTCCTCCAAAACAGGATGCTCCAGGGACACCTTTTAAAAGAAAGGGTTGCCTAAGGCAAAGTAGTAAAATGGCACTCCCTTTCATCCCATGACCAGAAGCAAACTCAAATGGCAACTGAGCTGCTACTATGTGTTTCAAGTTGAGTCGGATTTATGCAGATTTTCCTAGAGTTTTCTTGACAAGATGCATTCAGAGGAGGTTTAGCAGTGCTTTCTTCCAAGAGCAAGAGAATGTGTTGCCCAAGATCACCAAATGGGTTTCCACTGTTGAGTGATTTCAGTTCCACTACAACTGTAAGTTTGGGGTGGTTCGTCTCTAGAAGATGTCAATAGATAAAACACTCCAAAGTAGTCATATACCACAATTGCTAACACGGGGCATTTTTATGTCATTTGACAGCTATTCAAGAAACAAGCACCCTCCCAATTGGCTGCAAAACCATCCAGCTAGGATCTGCGCCTTGTTTGGCTCGTGCTTCTGTCAGATGTCATCGTTGATTGGCTCTTCATATGACGGGAAATTCAATAAACTGTCATTGGAGCATTTGAAGTGTCAGTCTGTTTTATTGATCCACCCCAAGAGGGACATGATCAGAAAGGAATGTGATGTGGCATTGAGAAATGAGTCCATGGTGATCTTAATGGGTTGGCTCTGGTTAATACAGTGGTTCCCAACCTTTTTTTTTGACCACTTGACCAGGGACCACTTTAACCAGGGGCCACTCTCCAATATTAATACCAAATGGGTTATTTATTATTATTTGCTTTATTTCTATACCGCATTTTTCAGCCCAACCAGGCAACTCAATGCGGTTTACATGGTACAGGTTATCACAACAATGTCAGTGCAATTAAAACGCATCATATACAACAACAAAATCAACAACAATTAACAAATCAAAACATAGCGCCTCAATGAAATCAGATCCGTTCTCATAATCCTTGTGCCATTCCTATGTTCAATATTACCGTCTTCCTATGTTCGGTTGCACTGTTTAGCCAAACGCTTGTTCATAAAGCCAAGTCTTGACCTTTCTCCGAAACGCCAGCAATGAAGGTGCCTGTCTGATGTAAGGCATTCCATAGCCGAGGGGCCACCACTGAGAAGGCCCTGTCTCTCGTCCCCGCCAAACGCGCCTGTGACGCAGGCGGGACCGAGAGCAGGGCCTCCCCAGACGATCTTAATGTTCTAGTCAGTTCATAGGTGGAGATGCGTTCGGAGAGGTAAGTGGGGCCAGAACCGTTTAGGGCTTTATAGGCTAAAGCCAGCACCTTGAATTGTGCCCGGTAGCAGATTGGCAGCCAGTGGAGCTGGCTCAACAGAGGAGTGGTATGCTCCCTGAGTGCCGCTCCCGTTACCAACCTGGCTGCCGAGCGCTGGACCATCTGAAGCTTCCGAACAGTCTTCAAGGGCAACCCCACGTAGTTATAAATCAGTTTTTGGTCAACTTTACATTTGGTTTGATAATTTGGGGTTCTGATTAGGAAAACTGTATTTGACAGACCACATCTCTTGTTTCTGATACAGAACATATGCCATCTGCTCACCCACAGAAAACCATATTTAATAAGCCTCAGCACTATATGAGGCTTATAGCCTCAGCACTATATGAGGCTTATTCTCATTGCAATGGTGAAGCCGCAGAACATATTTTAGTCCACTGGAGTCCACGGACCCCAGTTTGGGAACCACTGGGTTAATACAATAGATTACGGTACACAATGGATACTTGGGAATAATAAGCATTTTAATAGGTGAGGTCGGCTTGAGTCATGAATGCTGGCTCCTTCTCATTGATAGTCCTGATTTTATGAATGGAACCAGGATATGGACCCAGGAACGAATACAAAATCTATTGATAGTTCCTCTCGCATCACCCAGTTTATTGTGATGGGATTGTGTAGATTAAGGAAGGGGGTTTAGTTGTGATTGGACAATTCCAGAGGTAATTCATACAAAAGTTAATGTGAGACAAAAGGTGCTTGCGCTCACTAGATTTTAGTGAAGCTGAAGTTTCTATTTTATACAATATCATATTCATCATAATTTGGGGTCCCATTTTTCAATATCATTATGGTTGAGAAAGGAATTGAACATCATAGTTGTCCCTCCATGTTTGTGGTTTTGACTTTTGAGGATTTGGTTATTCATAGATTTGATTTAAAATGTTCTCTCTAGGAATCTCTAGGTGCTCTGGTGTGATCCTAGGAGATACTAGAGCCTGTTAGAGAAAAGATCTCGCTATGTCTCTCTGTGTCCTTCAATGTGATCCTGTGCTCACTGGCCAGTGAAGGTTGTTCCTGGAATCATGCTGGAAGACATAGAGAAAAATTAAGAACTATTTCTTTATTTGTGCTTTTTCACTTTCATGGGGGTCCTATGTTCCTAACCCCATTGGTTATGGAGAGTTGACTGTACTTCAAAATCTGCGACAACCAAACCAGCAATGTGTCTCCTGCTCCAGGGCTTCTCTCACTCTTCATGGATAATGAATTTCTAGTGTACAAAGACTTCATTAAGTATTTCAGTCTGACAGCCAAGCAAGTAATTGCTCCAAATTATTAAAAAATGGAAAAGATTTATCTACAGATTGGTGGAGGGAGGAATTATGAGCACTGGTGCTGACTGAAAATTAACAGTACATATTAAAATGTTCCTGGTAGTATGAGATGTGCCACAAGTGAACACACTGTCCTGCCTTGGGGTAGATTCTCCCTCAGGAGAGACTTTTAAGTGGAAGCTGCCAGGGATAATGAAGCTGCATGGATTCTAATCAGTGGTTCCCAAACTTTGTTCCTGCAGCTGTTTTGAATTTCAGATCCCAACATTCCTGACTGTTAGCCAAACTGGCTGGGAGTTCAAGTCCAAAGCCCCTGGAGGACCAAAGCTTGGGAACCACTGCAGCAGATAAGGCTGGAGGTTCCTTCCAACTCAGATGTTGAAATGAAATCTTGGGTAGCAGTTGCCTGGAGATAAAGGGTGCATACACATGATACATTTATTTATTTATTGCATTTATATCCTGTCCTTCCCACCCCAAAGGGGACTCAGGGCGGCTCACAAAAAAGGCACAATTTGATGCCATATATACATACATAGGAGAAAACAAAACATATACATTAAAAGCAATAATTAAAACATCATAATCTTAAAGAAAAATAAAAGTCCCCTTGACATTAAGTGTAGTTGTTTCTGACTCTGGGAAGTGGTGCTCATCTCCATTTCTAAGCCAAAGAGCCGGCGTTATCCGTAGACACCTCCTAAGTCATGTTGCGAGCATGACTGCATGGAGTGCTGTTACCTTCCCACAGAAGCGGTATCTATTATCTACTCACATTTACATGTTTTCAAACTCCTAGGTTGGCAGAAACTGGGCCAACAGAGGGAGCTCACCCCACTCCCAGGATTTGAACCACCAACCTTTTGGTCAGCAAGTTCAGCACCTCAGTGGTTTAACCCGCTGTGCCAGCAGGGAGCCCATAATCATAAAGCCATGCAGTCCAAAGACATATTTCAGGAGCAGATTATTAATGCAGTTTGACACCACTTTAACTGCAAAGCTCAATGCTATGAAATCATGTCATTTTACAAGATCTTTATCCTTCTCCGCCATAGAATGCTCCTGCCTCCCCAGACTGTAACTCCCAAGGTTCCCTAGTATAGACCTGTGGCAGTTAAAGTGGTAACAAACTGCATCAATTTGTTAGTGTAGATGCATTCAAAGTAGGGCATAAAAAGAATAGTTTTGCTGTGGTTTGGGGACAAAGTAAACTATTACAAAGTTTTAAAAAATCTGTTTCAGGTTTGAAAGTGTTATTTCCTTTTTAATTGTGCGATACTAACTTTGAACATAGTTGTTACTACTCTAGAAACTTTGTTTTTGTGGCTGCCACAAACTAAGTTAAATTGGTTGAGACTCTATGAAATATTCACTGAAAAACTATAGCAAAATATGCTGTAGTTTAATAAACCTTTTCCATGTTTTTATGATAGAATCAATTAGGAAATAACATTTAAATCTCAGGAACAAAAATTGTGTTACAGTGTTATCATCACTATAGCATTTTCCAGAAACCCAAATCCTATTATGTCTGCTTTATGATGTTATGCTTGAATGGGGTTAGGAAATATAATGCCGGAAACGCAGAAAGTCCTTTTTAGGAGACAATCCTAGAGACCTGAAAATAAACCACACTGGATTCAATGACACGACCATGCTGCAATATGATAATTATTATGTGTGAAAACAGTCTTTCTCTTCTGCTCGATTTAATGTAAACACTCAGAATGACAGAAACACTGAACATAAAGGGAGGGATCTTTTCATTCCCCAACAGAACTGCATTCTGTCATCTGAGCAAGAAAGAGGGATTTCCCTCTCCAGACCCTCCTTCTTCTCCCCCTCCAGAAATCAGACACCAGGACTCCTATTCACTCCCTCTTTCAGGGAAGGGGGAAAAAACCCAGCCTCCTCTTGGAGAGCACTTTCTTTTCTCCCTTCCTCCTTCCCTCCCTCCCTTTTTCTTTCTCTGCCTCTCTTTGTGCCTCAATTAATTCCCATCCTCCTTGGCCATGCGACTTGACCGCTTTCTTCCCATCGAGGCACCTTTAAAATAAAATAAAATAATAATAAAGACCAGAGAAGCACATTTTTCCTCTGCAACCCAAACATGTCATGTGGCCTCCAGAGAAACTGGATTGCAAACTTTGCCTTCTGGGTTCACCTCCTTAATATCCAGGCGTTGGGCAATGGTAGGAGTCCTCCAGCGGGCAGATTTGCTGCCTTCCCAGACAAGAGGCAAGGTCAGTGGCTTCTCTTGTTTCCTAATAATCAAAAGGACTGCATTTTGACGTGGCAGTCTTCTTCCACATAACGCTTTTCTTGATCTCTCTTTTTCTTTCTCTAACAAGAGCCCCGCCAGTAGAAAGTTTCATCTTTTCTTCTAAAGTGCTGAACTGTGTCATCAGCTGTACCTAATTAAGTAAATCATTTGTTTCCAAAACTATCAGAAGCTGCCCTGGATGCCAGGTGGATTCTGGAAGATGTAATCCAAAAGATAACTTTTCCAGGCAGGGTTCCTCAAGGCAGCTTCACAAACACAGCCACACAGATCCTCGGAAGTTTTGCTGAATCTCTTATAAAACACAAGTCTTGCTTGAATTGGAGTCCTCCAAGATTTTTGCAGCTGGCCAGCTAGCTCATAACATTTAACTGTCAATGTTAGATTACCAAAAAGGGAATGCTAGTGATGGATGGGAAGGGTTGGCACTCTCCACTAAAACATTTGGGGATTTGAAAAAGGCCTTCTAACAATGTTTCAGTTACATTTTCCTTTTAAATATCTTTGACTTAACTTAGGAGATCCCTTGTTGTCCAAGGATGATGGTCCTCCAAGTGTAGTGGCTTGGCAGTGGGTCCGTAGGTGGCCGTGAAGCCCTATTCTTGATCTGCCCACAGTGAGAACATTAGCTTTCAGGTGGAAGGCCATCTCAGTCAGGGTTGGCTTGACACGCCTTCCTCTTGGCACATTGCTCCCTTTCACCTTCCATTTGTGCCTCTTCAAATTCCACAGCACTGCTGGTCACAGCTGACCTCCAGCTAGCCAAAGTTCATTTTTCTTTTTTGGCCGCAGGGTGGTCACCCCTCTGGACATGGCAATCCAGTCAGATATAAGAGAGGCAGACTATGTTTAGGGCACCTTTTCTAGCCCCTTCTTCATGTGGGGTGAGGTAAGTGGATCCTAAAAAGGGCTGTTCAGTCATGGATACACTGCCACACTACTCAACTGCCTAGGACCTTGAGGTAAAATGACTGAATCCATATCCATCACCCATGTGCCAGTCTGTAACTAGTCCTGCCCTTGTCACTACTCGCTCATCACCACAGGAATTTGCTGGTTTGATTTTACTTTTCTTGGAAGACACCTACGTTTGAGTTTTTTTAAATGTGTGGAGGTTGGTGCACAACTGATCAACAAACAGTCTTCACATTTATTCTGACTAAATAATGTTTTTTGCTCTGCCTTTTCGATCCCTCCCTTCTTCCTCCATGAAAACAATGACATTTAATACAATTGGAACCAGATTATGAAAATGTTACTTTTTGAACTACAATTCCTAGAAATCCCCAGAAAACAATTTCACTCCTTAAATGCCATTCTTCACCTCTGCAGTTCTTCCACTCCTTGTCGAGACAGCCAGATTTTGACTTGGACCTTAACTTGAATTACACATTTTCATTTCTGCTCAGAAGGCATACACTACCAGCTGTTAGGAATTATGGGAGCTGAAGTCTAAAACACCTGGAGGACCAAAGGTTGGGAACCACTGCACTAGGTCAATGTTTCCCAAACTTTGGTGTTCTGGTTTTGTTTGGTTTTTTTTAGACTTCAGCTTTTGGGATCCTTCATTGTTGTCCAAGCTGGCTAAGGATTCTCAGAATTGGAGTACAAAATAGCTGATCCAAGTTTGGACCTCACTGCACCAAGTGAACTCATTTGAAGATTCAAGTTGGAGAGTCCACCTTCTCTTCCAGTTTTTAAGGGCACTAAGGAGGTAGAAATGTTGAATAGCTGCTTTGGAGAATGCTTTGCATTGGATGAGAGGAAGCAAGTGGAAATTTAACCCAAACAAGATGGAACTGTAGTGAAATGGGAGATCTGCTAGTCCATATGATGGAGTCATTGCTGGTACCATAAAGTCTAGAAGTATTCTTTGACCCAGGACTTTCTCTGGTGGTACTAGTGAACATAATGCTTTTTATTAGATTAGGTTGGCAGTTATCTAGAGCAGGAACATCTTCATGCATTTCAATTATTGTAATTTCATTTCCAGGCTGGACGATCAACACATAGGGTTGACCCTAAGAAACATTTCAGAATGGCTTCAGAAAACAAAAGATAAAACATTTACTTGGATGACATTACACAAGGGTTGGGAATCTTGTAGCTCCCCAGGTACTGGATTGCAATCCTCATTGATCATGGTGAGACTAACTAATGATGAGCAGTGCTGGGAGATATAGTCCAACAACACTCGGGGGACTACATCATTCATATATATGCATTTTACCTATTCTGCTTCAGTTACAATGGGTGCCTATCCTGGGTTTCAAACATGATGGCTTTTAAAATCCCAAAGGAGAATTGAAATATGTGTAGACTTTCTGTAGCTTCTAAAAGACTATATACTTCACACCTGTGCAAGCTTTAAGATACCATATTCCTTTGATTCTAAGACATCGATTGCAAGATGCACACTAATTTCAGTACCACCAACAGATAAAAGCTGTACACACACATATATTTCACAATTCTACGATGCATGCCATTTTAAAGAGGTTTATATGGGGGGAAGCATGTCTCAGAATTGAAGAATTACTGTTAAGTACACAATGTTTACCTCAGGAAAAGAAAATCTAAGAAAAATGAGATGAGAGATGTAGTAAAAGCAGTCAAAGGATATAATGTAAGATCTGACCAAATTATATTAATAGAATCATTGAATCATAGAATCAAAGAGTTGGAAGAGACCTCATGGGCCATCCAGTCCAACCTCCTGCCAAGAAGCAGGAATATTGCATTCAAATCACCCCTGACAGATGGCCATCCAGCCTCTGTTTAAAAGCTTCCAAAGAAGGAGCCTCCACCACACTCGGGCAGAGAGTTCCACTGCTGAACGGCTCTCACAGTCAGGAAGTTCTTCCTCATGTTCAGATGGAATCTCCTTTCTTGTAGTTTGAAGCCATTTTAGCGTCCTAGTCTCCAGGGAAGCAGAAAACAAGCTTGCTCGCTCCTCCCTGTGGCTTCCTCTCACATATTTATACATTGGCTATCATATCTCCTCTCCAGGCTAAACATGCCCAGATCCTTAAGCCGCTCTGCATAGGGCTTGTTCTCCAAACCCTTGATCATTTTAGTCGCTCTCCTCTGGACACATTCCAGCTTGTCAATATCTCTCTTGAATTGTGGTGCCCAGAATTGGACACAAAATTCCAGGTGTGGTCTAACCAAAGCAGAATAGAGGGGTAGCATGACTTCCCTAGATCTAGACACTATGCTCCTATTGATGCAGGCCAAAATCCCATTGGCTTTTTTGCCACCACATCACATTGTTGGCTCATGTTTAACTTGCTGTCCACAAGGTATAGTAAAACTTCAGGGAATACAAATCAGTTTAACCATAATCCAAGCTTACATTCTAACTATAAACAGCAGCTCTGAAGGAAATGGGCATGATCCTGGGGCATCAAGCTACACCATTAAGTACTAAAATTAAAATGTTCCATGACACAGCTTGAAAAGACTGGGCATGTTCAGCTTAGTGAAAGGAAGACTGACATGATTTCATTATTTAAATACCTCAAGGGCTATCACAGAGACAAGGAAGTAAGTCTGTTCTTTGCTTCTCCAGAGTATGAGGACAGAGTTCGTGGTTTGAAGTTATAGGAGAGTAGATTTCAATTGAACATTAGAAGGCACCCCTTGATAGTAAGAAATGGAATCAACTAGAAAGCAAATGGGGTTTCCTTCTCTGAATGACTTTAGCTTTGTTAACATTATGAAAAACTGCACAGCATTCTTGTCATGGTATTATTCTTTGCAACTGTTTTTCTTGATTGTTAGAAAACCTGTTTCACAGCCAGGAAACCAATTACGGTGAATATTCTTTCTGTCACTAGTTAATAGTTGCCATGCTTCCTAAATCCGAATTTTTTTATTCTTTCCCAGATGATTTTATCAAAACACTGCAAGATTATGAAGTGGTCAGCCCAGCAAAAGTCAATGCTTATGGACATTTTCTCTCATACAGTTTACATCACAATGCCTCCAATGTCCAAAGAAAAAGAGACTTCAGAAGAAAGGACACTAAAGTGTATTACAGAATTAAGTATAAAGAGAAAGATCTCTTCTTAAATTTAACTTTTCATCAAGGACTATTGTCCAATAATTATATTCTGGAAAGGCGTTTTGGCAACTACACTAATGCAAAGATTGTCCCATGCCTGGAAATATCATGTCATCTCATTGGAACAATCTCACATCCAGATTCCGGGAATGGGAAGGCAGCAATCAGCACTTGCAGTGGACTCGTAAGTGGCAAAGATATCTCAAAATGTTCATTCCTATTACTAATTCTAGAAAATCCTAAACAAAGTTTCTACCCCAAGGTCAAGGAAGCTTAAAAGAATAGGGGAAATGGGCTATTTGTACATTATTATTTTTAAAATCCATGGCCTATATCCAATTGCTTGTTCCCAGTTAAAGGGCACCCACTTTACCAGTTACTGAATATAATCAGCCCCCTACATTTGTGGAGTTGATTAAAATGCCCCTCAATGTTACTCAATGGTCAACTTCCACTAAGCTGGAGGACCTTGAGATTTCTAGAGATAACACTTCTCTATTCATTTGTAGGTCCTCCAGTGAGCTTCTGTGAAAGGACCATAGAGTGATGTTGAAGGAACTGGAGTGCATGTGTCAAACTCAAGGCTTGTGGGCTGAATCTGCCCTTCGTATCATTTTATATGGTCCTCCAGATGCTGGACTACTCCTCCTGTATTGCTCATCATTAGACATCATGACCAGAGCTGATGGGTATTACGATAGAAAGGTGTTGTCTTACTTTAAAAAAATAATGTCTTTATTTGTGGGTTTTCACTTTTGTGAGGGTCTTGTGCCCCTGTTCCTGGGGAATGTGGAGGACTGACCGCAGTAAGTCACTACTTGTGTACACTCTATCTACTTAGACTAGCAATTGGGATATGTCCATACTAATATAGTTTTGTTTGATTCCATCACCTGGTTCTCAAAGGCGTGTTGCAAAGAAAAGTTTTCCCAATCTCATGTAGTACTTTGAAGAAGTTGGATTCATGCATGTAGTAATATTCCATTCACGAATTTTGGCAAACTTTTTTGGTCTTGCACGAACGGTTTTGTTTCTAAGAAGTCTCTTTAAAGATTCAAGTATTCATGGCTGACAAAATGTACTCCTCTTGGTTGAAGTGTTCATGACATCTAGGTGCTCAGCCTGTTTTCTCTTCGGCAGAGAGAACTGACTGTGCCTGAGGACTGTAGGAGACTGATTACAATGTCTGAAAAAGATAATTTGTTAAAGGAAATGTAGGACGTGTACCATTTGTAGATTCTTGCCTGATCGGTTGTTTCTTTTGCTGAAAATTACATGGGAGAAAAATGAAGAGAGTGAAAACTACAAGATTAGTACCATACCCCCTTCCATTTTGATTGCTTGCATAGTTGCCACTGTGGGAAAAAAGATTTTATTTTGTTGGTTCCTCTTATATTCCTACTCCATAGGGAGGGAGGGAGGGAAAACATTATTCTGGCTGTGTTGTCAAAGGCTTTCACGGCTTGAATCACTGGGTTGTTGTAGGTTTTTTGGGCTGTATGGTCATATTCTAGAAATATTCTTTCCTGATGTTTCACCTGCATCTATGACAGGCATCCTCAGAGGTTGTGAGCTCTGTTGCAAACTGGGGAAATTGGGTTATTTTGGCTTTCTGAATTCCAGTAGTCAGATCATTTACCAAACAAGTTTCATTTATCAAATGACTATTTCCTTTCACACTAAATCTTTAGTCCAAAAGCTAAAATGAAATCCTAATTGTTCAAAGGAAAAGCAAGTGGCATTTTTGCTAAACATGCCATCAGCAGCAACCATCACGAGAGGGAGAAGTCAGCGTTGCCTCCTTTTTTATATCTTTAATCCCAGAACTCATTGATAGGAGCTGCTGTCATGACTAGTGAATTCCGAATGCCACCCACACCCCATTCAGGGAAGGAGGCATAATTTGACAAGAAAAGGAAACCCTGTCTGTATACACAGTACACACTGTAGAATTAATGCAGTTTGACTCAAGGTGGCTTACAGATTGGCAGCCATTTGATGCCATAACAGCCCACAATATACAGTTAAAACCTTTAAAATAACATCATAATACAATCTAAAAACTTTTAAAAACATACAGTAACCAATGTCTTCCTGTTAATCTCATTTTCCGGTAACATCATCTAGGCAGTTCCATGTTTCAAACTTACAAAAAGGCCAGGAACAGCACCATGGCAGAGATAGCAAAGGGGGGGGGGGGTGTATCTTTTAGGTTCTCCTGGGACCAAGCTCATGACTTTCCTCATTCTACTCAGATAAATATATGGTTCCTTTTTTTGATAAATGTTAAAGTACAGCACTCATGTTGAGCCATGGATAAGTTGACCCAGGTTTTGGGAAACTGACTATTTGACTAAAATTTCTAGATGCATACATCAATATATATATATATATATATATATATATATAGGGTATATCTAGACAGAATAAGCAAAGGTTCTAAGGAGAATGATATGTAATAACATGTATCAATACATTTGGAAATCAGCATGTGTAGTAGTCACACTTTTTGGAGGAGGGAAGCAAATGTTTTTTCAGTACTTTGAGAAGACAGCTAACATATCTGTTTATTTCTGATTTTTTTTGTTCCCTGAAGTTGTTAATGTGTCTTATGTTTTAAATTATAAAACTTGCAGAAAATAGTTGTTAGTTCATTTGGAGGACACATCCAGGTGTGACTGTTAAGACCTACACAGTAGCCATGAAGGTTATTTAAAGGAAAATTAAATAGACTGCTCAGTGCCATATTTTTCCTTTAAGTATTTTGTGCTGTATATTATTGATAGCCTGATTCACCATTCATTTGACTAATCTCTTTTTAAAGCTATCCAGACAGGGACCTGAAAATTGTATTCCACCTATGCACCTGCAGTTCTGCATTGAAATGTGTGAATGCTCCAGCTAAATAAATCAGTTTAAAAAGTGCCACTAGATTGCCTCCCACCTTTTTAATACTGAAATAGGCTAATATGACTTCCTTTTTGAAATCAATCTTTCCATAATTTACAGTAACTATATCGTGCATGAAGAATTACCTCTCTTCCAGTTTACTTGATTGGATGACCCTGGATTCTAACATTTTGTCTTTTTAGTCCACTTTATTTAACTTTGCATTATTTTATATAGTCATGCCATACATATACAATTTTGTACTTCAAAATGTGCCAAATGTTTTTTCCTTTATTGATCAGGCCTTTTCTGCTCACACCATATCTCAGTTGAGCCCATATTTGAGGTACACTTGACTTTACAAGTGTATATCATTCTATGCTCTAGTTATAGAATCACAGAATAACAGAAACATCAAGATGGAAGAGACCACAAGGGTTGTCCAGTCCAACCTCAAGTCATGAAGGAACATCAAAACACCTCCAACAGATGACCATCCAGCCTTTGTTAAAAACCCACCAGAGAAGGAGACTCCACCACACTCTAAAGCAGCATTACTTACTTACTTTACTTACTTAGGCAATCCCTTGTTGTCCGAGTAAGATTGTCCTCCAAGTGCGGTGGTCTGGTGGGTACGTAGGTGACCATGTAGCCCTATTCTTGACCCGCACATTCTCCATTTGTGCCTCTTCAAATTCTGCAGCACTGCTGGTCACAGCTGACCCCCAGCTAGAGCACTCAAGGGCCAAGGCTTCCCAGTTCTTGGTGTCTATGCCACTGTTTTTAAGGTTGGCTTTAAGCCCATTTTTAAATCTCTTTTCCTGTCCACCAAAATTCCATTTTCCATTCTTGAGTTGGGAGTAGAGTAACTGCTTTGGAAGATGGTGATCGGGCATTTGGACATCATAACCAGTCTAGTGGAGTTGGTGGCATAGGAGCATTGCTTCAGTGCTAATGGTCTTTGCTTCTTCTAGCATGCTGACATTTGTCTGTCTGTCTCACCAAGAGATTTGCAGGATATTTTGGAGACAACACTGATGGAATCATTCCAGGAGTTGAGTGTAACATCTGTAGACAGTCCACATTTCGCAGGATTATAACAGGGTTGGAAGGACAATAGCTTTATAAACAAGGACCTTGGCCTCCCTACAGATGTCCCAGTCTTCAAACACTCTCAAACACAGCATATTTCCCTGCCAAACAGCTTTCACTCTCAGGAAGTTCTTTATTCTAGTCTCTGAAGCAGCAGAAAAAAAATTACCCCCATCTTCAATATGTCATATTTTCAAACATTTATATAGTGCTATCATGTCACCTCTCATCCTTCTCATCTCCGGGCTAAACACGCCCAGCTCCCCAAACCATTTGTCAAACCTTTTATCATTTTGGTCATTCTCATCTTGACACATTTCAGTTTGTGTTGCCCAGAATTGGACACAGTATTCTATGTGTAACGCTTGACATAAGCAGAATAGAGTGGCACAATTATTTTTCTTGATCTTAACACTATACTCTTCTTGATGCAGCCTAGAATCATAGAACTGACAGAATCTAAGGCAAAATGTAGGGCTGTGTGCTAATATCACTTTTCTTTTCTATGATTTTAGCAGCCTACCAATGTAGAAGCCATTTATCTGTGAAAGCTTGCATGATGCATTTTGTGCATTTTGATTGCCCAGTAAAAATAATGCTATGTTTTTGGATTATGGAATTTGGTGTATTTTGCTGCCTGACCAACTTGGTCACCAAAATATATATTCATAGTTTTGTTTTATGTGTTTTAACTTAGCTTAGATAAATGTTTTGAGCTGCTTCTTCTTTTATTTGTGTCTGCTTATGTTTGCATCACGTTGATAATCTGACCCATCTAAACTGGTTTAGATTGTACAGCCACAATGAGGAAGGTATTCTCTTCCCTTGAATTTTGAAAATATGAGTTTTAGATTGGTTCAAGGCCAGCCAGAATATCTAGAAACCAGGCGGTTTGAGAGACTGTTGGCCTAGTCCCTAACCTCAAAGAGAGGAGGTGGATCAAGCTTGCAGCAGTCAGTAGAATTCAAGCCAAGAGTTTGTTCTCAATCCACAGCTCTTTCTTATGTCTGCAAATCAAACTATGCTGATGTAAACATGTGTGAAACATTCCCCCGCTCCCATCCCATCAGTGTGGAATGAAAATGCTTTGCTTTGGAAACATTGCTGGTCTGCAAAATGTCTTGGAACTGTTCAAAAGCAATCTTAAAAGTGGATCTGGTATGAAGAAAAATGCTGTTGAGTTAAATCAATCCATGAAAAAAT